CAAATGGTGATCTTCAAATTTTAGCCTCCTCAGTAGATAGGATTTTTACAGGCATGGGCCACCAGTGCCTGGCTTCCATTTCCATTTTCACATCTTTCCATGATTGCAGATGGCACTTCACTAGTTTTCCCCTAAGTTCTGAACATAATAGGCAAAAGGATCTGTCAAAAAGAAAAATCATATCATATCAATCTTTTGTTTAGGACTCTTGCTTCCTATTGTATTTATAAAGGATTCTTGAAACACCTTCAACCTGACTTGAAAGGGTATCTTGTCTTCTTGCCTTACTTCACATAGCCACACCAGGTAGGCTTCCTGCTCTCCCTGAGCTTTTAGCCTCTCTGATCATGTTCCTTTAAGCACACCTCTCTCTTGCAGTGGGCTTTTTTTCTGGCTATTTTCTCTGCATTGCTCTTTCTTAGCCCTTTCTTAGCTTCACAATCAACTCTGATATCCTTTCTTTAGGAAGGACTATCTGTCTACTCTTTCTAAAGTAGGCACCCACTACTTCCACCTATACTTTTTTTTTTTCTTCAATTTTTTTTATTGTGATTAAGTGGTTACATAATTTCACAGTATTGTGGGATAGGGATGCTTAGTTAAAGTCACAAACACATTCTAACTTTCATGGAGCAAATTGTCTATCATGGTCTATAGCATTTATGAGTTCTATGAGCTTTGCAATACAGTTATTTCTTCCACATTGGGTGATATGATATTTCTTTTGTTTTGCATAGCATCAGCTGTTCCCTCTGTCGCACTTGTGCCCTCCCTCCCATCACTGCCATTGAGTTGCTTAGTTCATTTTGGTCAATGTCCAGTGCAGCTGATGGGTCCCGCTGTTGTATGTTTCCCTCTAATTCTGTGTCATCCTCCTGGTTTCCCTCTGGTGTGCACATATATACCATATACGTGATCAGCAGCATGGGGTTATTTAGTAGTGATTCGACCACATGAGTGGAAGTCCTTTGTTTCTTAAGTCTTACTAATTTTGTCCTATCACCTTGTATTTTGGATTTAGCATCCACTTATCAGGGAGACCATGTGCCTTTTGTCTCTTTGCTCTTGGCTTACCTCGCTCAACATGATTTCTTCTAGCTCCATCCATTTCCCTGCAAATGCCATTATTTTGTCCTTTCTAATGGCTGCGTAACATTCCATTGTGTATAAATACCACAATTTTTGGATCCATTCATCTGTAGTGGGGCATCTGGGTTGTTTCCATATCCTGGCAATTGTGAACAGTGCTGCAATAAATATGGAGGTGCATGTGTCCTTGTATACTGGTTCCTGTTGTTCAGGATAGATGCCTAGAAGTGGTATGACTGGGTTATAAGAGAGGCCAATATTTACCTTTCTGAGGACCCTCCAGACTGCTTTCCAAAGTGGTTGTATAAGTGTACATTCCCACCAGCAGTGTAACAGGGTTCCTCTTTCTCTGCATTCCCCCACCCATACTTTTCATAGCATCACTCACTGACGTGGAATTATACTGTTAATTTGCATACTGTCTACTCCTACTAAAATAAAAACTTGTTTTTATGTTCTGCTTCTAGCCTCAGTACCTAGAACAGTGCCTGTTACATGTAGTTGTGCTCAGTACATGTTTAATAACACTGAGCAACCAACTACTCTGTAAAGAGGCTTAGGAGGATCCCTCTCATGTTCTCAGTGTCCTCATACACACAGGCAAGGAATCCATGTTTCTTAAATGTGGCTGTGCTTCTTGTTCTAGTACTTACTATGAACCACTGACTTGGAGGCTGAACTTCATCTTTTCCTTCATGAAATCATGGCTTGCAGCCTTTTGAATGGAAAGGCTTTTAGCTGGAAAATACAGTGAACAATCCATCTGGAAATATTCTGTCATGTTTTATCTGAGAAACTCTAGAGAACCAGCTGCTGATGTGAAATGGTTTTATTATGATACAGACCATCTATTGTCTACCAAAGTGCTGGCTTTACACAGTAGTATGTGTGTTGCCTTTTTTGAGCTATTAACTTGAGAAAAAAATTTGTATCCACTAATTTATGCATGACTTACATTTCCTGAATGGGTTATTGTGTCATTTTCTTTAGCTTATTTATTGTGCATTTTAGGGTTTTTTCCCTTTTTTTTTCTTCTTTAAGCAGAAATCAAAAGTTAAATGGCAAAATAAGATGGAGAGGCTTTCCAATCTGAGTTTTAAAATTTTCTCAGGCTTTTTTAATAATAGGTGGTTTAACTTATGATTCAGCACTTCTTTGTAGCTTTATGTATATGATTCACTGGAATAAAGTTTACTTCTTGGGCAGTACTTTTATAATCACAATATCACAGAAGAAAATAAACATCCAACTCTTGCATAGGAGTAATTTTTATGAAGGTGAAGATACATTACCATTTCTGGGTATAATATGCCCACGTAATCTTATCTCTAATAAACGATTTAAAAAAAAAAATCTGGAAGTGGTGCTGTGCCTTAAGTGGCAGAGTAAAAGAAGCTCTGAGATGGTGCCCAAACCCGGACTTCAAGTCCCTGGACCAACCAAAAAAAAAAAGTTGACTATTATTATTTTGAAAGTAAAAAATGACAGGTAATTATCCCCCCTCTAACCCCCTGGTCCTGGGGCATGAACTCAGGGCCTGGGCACTGTCCCTGGCCTTTATTTGCTCAAGGTTAGTACTCATCACTTGAGCCACAGTGCCATTTCCGGCTTTTTCTGTTTATGTGGTACTGAGGAATTGAACCCTGGGCTTCATGCATACTAGGCAAGCAATCTACCACTAAGCCACATTCAGCCACATTAAGTAGGAAATAATTGTACCTACGTAATTTTGAATAACATTTTAAGATTTTTTTAAATTATAAGAATTAGATGTTAATATCTTTGTTTTAATTGGTGTCTAGGAATTACCCCCAGGACCTTTTGTTTGCTAGACAAGCATTCTACCATTAAGCTACATATCCAGCCCTAAATTACAAATATTATAATATTAGCATTTCAAAAACATTTTCACCACTGTGACTAATACTTTAGTGAGTACTTTTGTGAATATTGTTATTCACATTTGGCATTATTACTTATAGAATGTATTCTCAAAAGTGGATTTTAAAAATTATGACATTTTGGGGCTAGGAAGGTGGCTCAGTGGTAGAGCGCTTACCTTGCATGCCTGAGGCCCTGGGTTCGATTCCTCAGCACCACATAAGCAAAAAGAAAAAAGCCGGAAGTGGCGCTGTGGCTCAAGTGGTAGAGCGCTAGCCTTGAGCTGAAGAGCTGAGGGACAGCGCCCAAGCCCAGAGCTCAGGCCCCACGACTGGACCCCCCTCCCCCCCAAAAAAAAGAAAAAAAAAATGTCATAATTTTTTTTTTTTTTTTTGGGTCCTGAACTCTGGGCCCGGGTGCTGTCCCTCAGCTCTTCAGCTCAAGGCTAGCGCTCTACCACTTGAGCCACAGCACCACTTTCGGCTTTTTTCTTTTTGCTTATGTGGTGCTGAGGAATCGAACCCAGGGCTGCAGGCATGCAAGGCAAACGCTCTATCAGAGCCACCTTCCCAGCCCCATGACATTTTCTATTTCCTCATAAATACTACAGATGATTTTCCAAAGAACCTGTATTGTTTACATTGCCACCTGCAGGCTATAAAGCTATTTCATTGTTGTATTCTGCATTATATATTATTTCTTTTTAAATTGCTCAGTAACATAGGACGACATGTTCTAATTTCAGTTTCCTGGGTTACTAGTGAAGTTGCAGATTTTCATATTTCATTTCTAGGGTCAGTCATAATTAATTAGAATGTTTTTCTCAGGCCCAGTAACTTTTTCTTTTTCTTTTTTCAGTCTACCCAACTTGATTCCTGTGCTTCATGTAACATTTTAGAGATATAGTAGGTTTTTTGTTTTTGTTTTTGTTTTTTTTGGTTGTTGTTGGTTGTAGGGCTTGAACTCTGGGCCTGGGCACTGTCCCTCAGCTCTTCAGCTCAAGGCTAGTGCTCTACCACGAGCCACAATGCCTCTTCTGGTTTTCTGGTGGTTTATTGGAGATAAGAGTCTCAAGGACTTTCCTTCCCGGGCTGGCTTTGAACCGGTATTCTCAGATCTCAGCCTCCTGAGTAGCTTGGATTATATGTGTGAGCCACCAGCAACTGGCAGCAGTTTTTAATTACAAAAATTATACATATATATTTTTATAGACAATTTGCCCCATGAAGGTTAGAATGTGTCTGTGACTTTAAGCATCACTATCCCACAATACTGTGAAATTTGTGAAATTATGTAATTACAATAAAAATTTGCAAAAAAATTATACATATGTAGTCTCTATTACTTCCTCTTTCCTCCCCTTCTTCTCCTTTCTCCTTGCCCCGCCCCACGCCATTTTCTTTCTTTCTTTTTTTTTTTATTTAAGACAAAGTCTCTCAGTGAAGTCCAACGTGACATTGAATTTGGGGGGGGGGGGGGCGGTTGTTCATGAGTCTTGAACTCTGTGCCTGGGTGCTGTCCCCAAGCTTTTCAGCTCAAGGCTAGTGTTCTACCACTTGAGCCACAGCTCCACTTGTGATTTTCTGGTGGTTAATTGGAGATAAGAGTCTCGCTGGCTTTGACCCACAATCCTCAGATCTTAACCTCCTGAGTAGCTAGGATTATGGGTGGGAGCCACTGGTGCCCAGCTGGCCTTGAAGTTTTGATCCCCCTGTCTCAGCCTTCTGAGTGAGTGCTGGGATTATAGGCATGCACCACTATATCTTGCTGTCTCTCACTGTTCTCAGTGATGCCTTCAAATTACTTTAAAAAAATGTAACATAGCATTGTATTTGTAGTCTATATTGTTATACAAGTGTTTTGTGGGAGCATGTTATGGAAGCAGTCTTAAGAATTTAAAAAAATCCAAAAATTTCCTTTGAATCTAGAACTTCAATGATAGATTTTTTAAAGGTATGTTTCAATATGCTTAATTAGTAGTTTATGCAAGTCTGAGAATTTACATATGGATTTTGAATATCCTCTTACAGGTTGGAAAAGAGACTGTTCAGACCACCGAGGATCAGATTTTGAAGAGAGATATGCCACCGGCATTTATTAAGTGAGTAATTTAAATAGTCTATTGTTAAACAGAATAATCCTAGTGGTAGAAAAAAAAAAATACCTGATTCCATGACACCTTCTGTTTTTTTTTTCTTTAATATAAAACTTAAGTTTACAGTTGAAATGGTCAACTTTCTTTCAGTACATATTTTTCTTACTATGTTGATTTTATTTTTTTGGTATTGGACATATTAAGCAAGTCCTAAGGAAACGTAAAGGGTAATACAAGAGACCCTCTCCCACCCCCCCCACCCCCAAATAAATAAAAGAAGTAGAAGTAGAACTTCTAGAAGCCAGTAAAGATGAGGTAAGACTATTAAAAATAAATACTCAAGGATACTATTAAAAATAAACAAGAATTTGAATAGACACTTCAAAAGACAGGAAATCCAGTGTCCAATAAACACACAAGAAAGTACACTTCTCATTAGTTATCAGGGAACTGCAAGTTATTATTGTGATGCAATCGGCAATTTGTAAGTATGTGAAACAAGCAAATGGAACTACAATTTCTGGGAATGCAAATTGGTAAAACCATTTTGGAAAATAGCTTTGTATTGGTAAAGAAGACAGGCTTTTTTTTTTTTTTGGTTGGTTGTGGGGTTTGAACTCTGGGCCTGGGCGCTATCCCTCAGCTCTTTAGCTCAAGGCAAGCACTCTACTGCTTGAGCTACAGTGCCACTTCCGGTTTTCTAGTGGTTTCTTGGAGATAAGAGTCTCATGGACTTTCCTGCCTGGGCTGGCTTCGAATTGTGATCCTCAGATCTTAGCCTCCTGAGTAGCTAGGATTACAGGTGTGAGCCACCAGCACCTAGCTAGAAGATAGTTTTATTCCTAAGAATATTATTTAGAGATGCTCGCTCTTCACACATGCATACTAAAATATTTATATCAACTTTGCTCATGATGACCCCTCTGATCTATGTAAAATGGAGGAAAATAATCGTTGTATACACATAAATTGTTGACTATAAATCATAAAAAGGAACAATAATTTTTCACTTTGAATGTCTAAGTCTTATATGAATTTCACCTTAATTTTTATTTTATTTTAATTAATTTTTTGGCAGTACTGGAGTTTGGCCTTGTGTCTGCTAGGCAAACAACTTGAACCACAGCCTCAAACCTTTTTGCTTTTGTTCTTTTGGACTTTGTACTGATATCCTCCGATCTCAGCCTCTTGAGTAGGATTACAGGTGTTCATATATTTTTATCTTCCTTGTTTTCTTATTTTTATTGCACAGATGCAGATATAGACATTTATTTCTAAAATACTTGAGTGAGTAGTTCCACTGAACTAGGTGTGCTTTTTGTATATGGGAATAAGGTAATGGAAGCACTTTTTTTTTTTTTTTTTTTGGTTGGTCATGGGGCTTGAACTCAGGGCATGGGTGCTGTCCCTGAGCTTTTTTTTTTTTGGGTCTGGTTGTGGGGCCTGAACTCTGGGCCTGGGTGCTGTCCCTCAGCTCTTCAGCTCAAGGCTAGTGTTCTGCCACAGAGCCACTTCCAGCTTTTTTCCTTTTGCTTATGTGGTGCTGAGGAATCGAACCCAGGGCCTCAGGCATGCAAGGCAAGTGCTCTACCACTGAGCCTCCTTCCCAGCCCGTCCCTGAGCTTTTTTGATCAAAGCTAGCACTGTACTACTTAGAGCCACAGCACCATTTCTGGTTTTTTGGCAGTTAATTCGGAGATAAGAATCTCATGAAAAAAAAAAAAAAGAATCTCACGGACTTTCCTGCTTATCTGGCTTTGAACAGCAATCTTTAGATCTCAGCCTCGTAAGTAGTTAGGATTACAGGTATGAGCCTGGCTAAAAGCATGTTTTGTTTTTGTTTTTGTTTTTGTTTTTGTGAAGCCTATTATGTATCTTCTTTTGTCTTACCTTCATTATACTGATGACCTCCAAGGTTTCTTCCAGCTTTAAACAGTACAAATCTGCTTAGTTTATGTATCTGTCAGTTAAGTGTTATTAAACTTGCATTTATCTTAAATTAAAAACATATCTTTAAGCCAGGTGCACTAGGACTGTATTCTCAGCTGGTTGGGAGGCTAATGCAGGAGGATCTTTTTTTTTTTTTTTCTGTCCATCGTGGGGCCTGAACTCTGGGCCTGGGCTCTGTCCATGAGCTCTTCAGCTCAAGGCTAGCACTCTACCACTTGAGTCATGACTTCCAGCTTTTTCTGCTTATGTGGTGCTGAGGAATGGAACCTGTAAGGCAAGCACTCTACCATTGAGCCACCTTCCTAGCCCCAGGAGAGTCTCTTGAGCCTAGAAATTCAAGACAGCCTGGGAAACATGAGGAGACCCTGTTTCCAAAAAAACAATGGACAAGTAAAAGCTCAGCCCAAGCGTGTATCAGGTTGTCCTTAACCTGGTAGGTACAGAGCATGAGACAGCAGGGATTTTCAATATCAGGGAGGCAGTTGGGCTTTATGATCTTTCAAAAAATTTCCTTCGGCCCTTACAGCCTAATGTACAAAGATCATTTGATAAGAAATAGATTTTTGTCTGGAAATTCATTTCTACTCATTTCTACAGATAAATCTTTGAAATATACTATGTGTTCTCACAGGCTTCCTTGTATTTCCAAATTATATTACTTAAAAACCCAAACTTGGTTACTGGGGCACCAAATTAGTAATTTAAGAGGAAGAATTTGGCTGGCTTTGCTATCTAAACTTTATTTCAGAGTAGTTGAGTAATCCCTAGCTGATGAGGAGTGTTTTAGCCAATAAATGTGGAAGGAATGACAGGCAGAATGAAAAAATCACCACTGTGTAACTTTCAGTGACAGTTGGTTTATGTAAGGGTCATCATGGATGAAACCATTGGTCTCCATGGGGATTTGGGGAGGAACAATGTATTAGGACCATCTGAAAAATTTACTGGGAAGTTTATTTTAAAACTATGTCACCTAATTAGCCACATCTGAAACTTTACTTTAGCCTCTAGTATAAACAACAATATGACTGTGGTTGTCAACCAAATTTGGAGACGAATAAATAACTCCACAATGTGAAGCTGGATGGTCATTCTTTATGTTTTCTGACTTTTCTAACTGAAGCAGAAAATACTAGATGCCTTGTCTTGGATGGGGAGGGGACAGAGAGGGAAACAGATGGAAGCAATTAATGACATCCTTGGAATTGTTGAGTAGGACATTCTTTTGGGCTGTTTGGTTGATGTTTAGAAGTTTCCAGGGCATGACTGATCTAAGCTTCCTCTGTAGTCTTAACTTTTACAGGATTTCTAAATAGTAACTGCTTAGGCAGCCCTAAGCAAGATAATAAGTTTTAGAAATTTATTAGTGGATCAGTCTCCTAAAAACATTAGCATGGCAAGGCTAGAGAAAATCATGATTATTGGCCTGTGTGTAATTCTGACATGAACATGTGATATATATTTAATGATTTCTCTGGGAGGATATGATATTGTTAGAATCATGAACTATTTGTGTGACTGTAGTTAAAGGCATATTGCAAAGTGGGTTTAATATGAGAAGTGATGTATAGATAGAGCATCCCTAATCTGAAAATTCAAAATAAAAAAATCTCCAAGCATTTTAGATAAAGGCTATTCAACTTGTATTTGAATTCTTCCATAAGGGACTTCCGGCGCTGAAGGGATTGTAAAGAAGAACCACTTTAATTTTGAATGAGATTTGCATTGTCACATGAACACTTTTTCATGGGTGGAGGAAAAGTTAACTGCTTTGTGACTATATTGGCAGATAAAATTTATAATTTACTGTTTGCCCAAGATTGCAGTTAGAAGCCACACTGTTATGTGAGAGGCATACAATTGCATGATTGCCATGGAAACTGCCCTGATAGTCACACACTATACATAAAATAGCAGCAATGATGTTTTATGAAGCTCTTGGTTAGACTTGCCCCACTGGAAGTCATTTATTCCCTTAACAAACTGCCAGCAGCAGGGTCAGCTCCTGTGTTCCATATTAGTATTTTGTATCATTATCACTCATCATTATTGTCATCATTAGCCAGCTGTAGTAGTAATTCATACTTACATATAATTGGTTGACTGTTAGTCTAGACACAGTCATTACTTAATTAAGCATTTATTGATTGACTTCTGTTTGTCTAGCATGCTCAGTGTTGCATAGTATATTGCAGTTTCACCAGTGTACAATGAATGATCACTTGTGGGATGTATCAAAGTCTTTCATTAGTAGTTTTTTTTTTTTTTTTGTCGGTTGTGGGGCTTGAACTCTGGGCCTGGGTGCTGTCCCTCAGCTCTTCAGCTCAAGGGGAGCGCCCTACCACTTGAGCTACAGCTCCACTTCCGGTTTTTTCTGGTGATTTATTGGAGATAGGAGTCTCACGTTCTCTCCTGCCCGGGCTGGCTTTGAACCACGATCCTCAGATCTCAGCCTTCTGAGTAGCTAGGATTACAGGCGTGAGCCACCAGCGCCCGGCTAGTTTTTTTTTTTATTAATAAAGTACTGAAGTTTACTAATAGCCAGGCACCGGTGGCTCACACCTGTATTCTAGCTACTCAGGAGGATGAGATCTAAGGATCGTGGTTCAAAGCCAGCCCTGGCAGGAAAGTCTGTGAGACTTCTTATCTCCAAGTGGCTTAAGAGGTAGAGCACTCACCTTGAGCTGAACTCAGAGACAATGCTTAGGCCTAGACTTCAACCCCCATGACTGAAAAAAATATTGAGAATATTCAAAGTCAGATCTGTCCCTCTTGTTTCTGCTTACCATTAAAAAAAAAAAAACCCCAACAAACCCAAACCTCTCATTAAAGTAGAATATATTATTTTTGCTTTTTATTGTGTTTACTTTTATATGTTTTATTTTTCTATGTATCATGGAGACACAAAGGTGGAAACTACTAGAGATATTTAAAAATATTTGAAGGAGTTTCAGGTTCAAGAGCTGCAGTGAAGGTTTATTTTATAAAAGGAATGCAGAGAAGGCGAGTTCTCACTGTAATAAGGAATCCTGTAAGTAACTCATAAGATCTGGGAG